TATTTCTTTCCTGGTTGTCATCCTCCAGCTTCCCCTACCTTCTACTTCTCCCATTAATATTATACCCAGACTTTTATGGATCAATAAATATTTGTGGGATGAAGAAAAGAATTTGTACAATGTATTGTATAATTATATGGCTATTATATTTGATATTGTTAAAAAAAGGACCCAGAGCTTGACGGCAGTTAAAGTGATAAAAACAGATTTTATTCAGGAATCATTACAGTAGTCAGAGTTCTCCAGAGAAACAGAACAAGTAGGAGATTTATATGGGGGGCAGAAGGAGGAGGGAGAGGGGGAAAGAGAGAAATTGATTAAGTGATTGATTGATTGTGAGGAATTGGTTCATGTGACTGTGGAGGCTGTGAAGTCCTATAATCTGTCTTCTGCAAGCTGGAGACCCAGGAAAGCTGGTGGTATAATTTAGTCTGAGTCTGAAGAGCCAGCAACCAGGGTAGCCAGTGATGTAATTCTAGACCAAGTGCTGGAGAAAATGAAATAAAATGTCCCACTTCAAGCAGTGAGGCAGAAAAAAGTGGCGTATTTCTCTTTTCCCTACCTTTTGTTCTATTCAAGCCTTCAGTGAACTGGACTATGCCCACTCACACTAGAAAGGACAATCTACTTTTCAAATTTTTTTTTGAGTTGGAGTGTCACTCCGTTGCCCAAGCTAGAATGCAGTGGCACGCTCATGGCCACCCCAGCGTTGATCTGCTGGGCTCTGGCGATCCTTTCGCCTCAGCCTTCCAAGTAGCTGAACTACAGATGCGTGGTACCATGCCCAGCTAGTTTTTTGTTTTCTTGTTTTTTTTTTTAGTTGGAGTCTCACTCCGTCACCCAGACTGGAGTGCAGTGGCCACTCCCGGCCACCGCAGCCTCGACCTTCCGGGCTCCGGTGATCCTTCCGCCTCAGCCTTCCAAGTAGCTGGAACTACAGGCACGCGCTATCACACCTGGCTAATTTTTTTTTTTTATTGTAGAGATGAGGTCTCGCCAAGTTGCCCCGGCTGGTCTCAAACCCACGGACTCAGGCAATCTACTCACCTCAGCCTCCCAAAATGCTGGGATTACAGGCTGAGCCACTGAGCCCGGCCAAGACAATCTCCTTTATTGAGTCCCATGATTCAAACACTAACCTCATCTGGAAACACTCTTATGGTATAGTGTTTAATCTGGGCACCCAGTGGCCAGTCAAGTAGACACAAAATTAACTCTCACAAGGGAAAAGAGACCCCAGTATAGAACTGGGCTCAACTCTAAATACAAGGACAAGCAAGGACTTAAAGCCAAGTATCAAGGTGTGGTAAGTGAAGGAAAAATTAAGAGGAACCATCAAGGGTATGGGGGAATTGCGGTTCAACTGACCTAATAAGATTCTTGCTAACACTGGGTGATGTAGACTTCACAAGGATGGATGCCAAGGGCGAGGTCTGGGCTCAGAGGAGCCTGACTAAAGTTTGGCCAGGGAGAAAAATCTTTGTCAGTATATCGAAGCTATGTAATTGCAAATCTATCTACCCTCCTTGGCACTTACTATAAGCAGATTTCAATGATATGAAATATTGAGGGAAAAACTTGCCCTAGTCCTTTCCCCTTCCTCTCCCTGCACTAGGCCCCAGCATTCCCACAGACACATATTTGGGAAAGAAGCAGAAAAACTTCTGATTAGTCAGAACCACTGAGGAAGAAAGAATAGGGGAAGCAGAAATGTGCAGAACTACTTGCTAAAATGATTTTGAATATAATTTGAGGTCTCATTTATAAGATGAGTCTAACCATCCCCCCTTGCTTCTACTGCTATCTTACTTTGTTGTTTCCTGTATATTAGGCCCATCTGAGATCGCAAGAGATTAGTAAGTTTAATTCAAACCTTAGAAAGAATCTTTAGGAAAAATGTCAACCCACTGAACACAAGGCATCTGAAACCTTAAAACATCAGGGTGGAACTCTTGAGGAATAGCAATGTCATAAAAACAAATAGATGAAAAGAAGACAAGCTGTCTGTATATAAGTGTGAAGGAGATGGTGAAAGAACATGGAGTTTTATTAAGCCACATACTCTTCCACATAAGCACCCTGAGTTGTCTGAGATGCCCTTGGCAATGCTGCTCTTTCCAAAATTTATTTATTCATTGTTTTGGAGGTGAGAGGGTATGCTTGAGAGGGTGTTTGAACTTCTCCATCAATGACTCAACTGGTGGGTTTTGTTGCCATCACTGTTCAGGCACTGGTCAGTCATCCTGTTTGTCTCACTTCTGGGAGACACTGCCCTTTCTTAGTCAACAGCGTTCTTTTTTTTTTTTTTGAGTTGGAGTCTCACTCTGTCACCTAGACTGGAGTGTAGTGGCCGCTCCCAGCCACCGCAGCCTCGCCCTGCTGGGCTCTAGCGATCCTTCCACCTCAGCCTTCCAAGTAGCTGGAACTACAGGTGAGCGCTACCACGCCCAGCTAATTTTTGATTTTATTGTAGAGATGAGGTCTCACTAAGTTGCCCAGGCGGGTCTCGAACCCGTGGGCTCAGGCAGTCTTTTTTTTTTTGAGTTGGAGTCTCACTCTGTTGCCCAGACTGGAGTGCAGTGGCC